CTTGCTACCAAAGCGACTACTTACTGCCAAAGTGGCTAGTTATTACCAAAGTGACTACCTACACACATATACACTAGTTCAGTGTGTATGGTGAGTTGTCTTTTATTCAACACAAATGATAAGTTCATAAAGGTATCTAGACAATAAGAAACATTAATGATACTAATGTATTTTACGATTCTGTTCGGTGACCAAACTTATTGAAAGAATTGATTTCATTGCATCAAAAAATTGCGAAATTAAGTTTAAGTCGAAGCTCGGCGACATAAGACTATTCCAATAATAGACAGTTTTTTGTTTCTTTCACACCAAAAATTTGATGAAAAAAAATGCATGCATTAATTTTGTTAATATAGAAACCGTATAACAATTTAACATTTTCTTAAGACTAGTAATACATCATATTCCTTCCCATCTTAAGCTAAATATTTGCTTACTTCCACCTGACGTGAACACAGTGGTGTCAGTTTTTTTGTTTTTTTTTCCTTTCCGAAGCCTTTTAAATACGCACATTTCTATGTAATCTTACTATAAAGATGATGCATCATGTGTGTGTTTGTGTGTTAGCATCCATCACCCAGGCTTGGCTGGCTCGATTACCGTAATTTTTGTATGGTAACTAGAGACTGTTCGACGATGTACAAGGGCTACTTTGTTTTAGGATTTTTGACCGAGAAAGGGGATAAAAAGCACCCTAAAAGTGGGCACATTTCCATATTTTTATTGACTTTTGGCTTTGAATTTAATGTAGGGTATGTGATTAGTATCTAATGAGGTCATTAGGGGTTTAACAACAAAAAGAAGAAAAAAAGAAAGGGGAACATTATCTAACAGTGTCCTTTATACAATTTTTATTTCCTTAACAGGTACTGTCAGCTGGTCGATAAATAACTTACTTAAATCAGTCGGTAGATGTAAATTATTTTATACCTCTATATTGTTAGCATTCTAAATTTGCTGGCATAAAATAAAAAGATTTACATTTATTAGACAAGGTAGAGGTGTTCAAACACGCGAGTATAGAAGTTTAACTCTCAATTTTTTAATAGCAAGATTCGTCACGTTTTTTTAACTCTGTGACATGCAGAACATTGAATGTAATGCTAGCTCCTGTACATAACTGATTTCAGTTACGTTTGCCAGGCTTAATGAAATCAATAGCGAACTAATTAATATGACTGTAAGAAAAAAAGTAACTGCAATGAAACGTAATTTCATATACGTTTGTTAGGCCTAATGAAATTAGTGATTAACAAATTAATAAAACTGTGAGAAAAGAGGAAGCTGCAATGAAACGTGAATGTAAAAATATATCTCGACTACCAAGGGGAAAAAGACATTCTTGGTTGAGCAATCCTTACTGCTCCTACAGAATAATCAACTATATGTCGAAAATTACGTTTATTATTAAAAAAAAGGATATATATATATATATATATATATATATATATTACTTGTTCGTACCTAACTACTTAGTTGGTCGAGTACGTACCCTTACCTTTTAGTTGTGTCTCGTCGTCGTACCGTACACTCCCGTCCGTTCGACCCGT